GTCTCTGAATTCATCCCCCCCCCCGCCCCCATAGAATTGGGCATGGTGAGCTGTCCCCCGGGAATACAGATTAAGTTGGGGAACCCAGGGGAAGGGGACTGGATGGCATGTTGGTGAAATGACCTCAGTCCACAGCCTCAGACCTGGAGCAAACCTGTTTCCCGGGGCAGGAAGTTGGACACAGCCCCTGGGTCCCACAGGCTGGCTGGGGACTGGGATGAGGAGGGAGCTCGGGGAGGTTGGGCAATCCTGCTTTTTCCCACGGAGGAGATCGCTGGACTTGTTCACAGGGCGGGTCCCCAGGTGCTCTCAGCCCCGCCTGGTTCCACCGCGGTTCCTTTCAGAGCCGTTGTGGAAGGAGCCAGCTCTGCGTCTCAGAGCTCTGTCTTTCCTTAGGGATCCCAGGCTTTCCCGTCCTCTCCGGGAAGCCCGAGCTGGATGCGCCATTCCCAGGGAAGGAGCGCCCTCTAGTGCTGGGGAGAGGGAAGGCTGGAGGAGAAGGAGCTGCCAGCCAAAGAGGAGCCAGCGGGCTGCACCCTGACCCGCTGGGCTAGGACAGGGCAGGGTCCACAGGTATTTCTGAGTCTGAGTGTTTCTTCTTCAGAGTCCCACTCCAGGAGAGGGGGCGGACTCCACCAAATGGAGAGTTAAGATCAGATTTCCTCTCCCTAGAACTGGGATCCTCCCTTCCCCCACTCCTGCATCTCCCTCCTGGTTCTGTCCCCAGCTGGAAAGTCACCCTCACAGTGGACTCATCTCGGAGAGTTTGGATTTCTTGGTTGGACCGTTTTGGGGTCTTGTTGCCCTTGTCTGTAGAAATGGGGGTCAACCTTACAGAGATGGTGAGCACTAAGTAAGACTCATGCACAAGTGTCTGAACAGGCCCTGCACTCTGTGGATAGTCGATAAAATCGAGTCGCCATGACAACACCCTTGTCCCTTTCCTGTGGCAAGCATGAGCCTCAGGAGGCCCACAGTGCGGCAGGGAGTCGGGCGGGGTACGGTGTAGTCTGGGGGTGCTCCATCTGTAGAGTGAGCGTCGTAGTCACGTTAACTGTCAGTGTCTCTCCAGGCCTGCCGCTTGCCTAAGGGCTGCTAAACGTACCGTTCCCATCGGTTCCCATCGGTGTGCTGGGCCCCTGTGAGGATGCTGCCCTGGCTTCTCGTCTTCTCTGCTCTGGGTCTCCAGTCCTGTGGTAAGTTTTCTTTCTCTGGACCAAATACTGACTGAGAGCATCTTTCCAAAATTTTGTACTAGGAATTCCCTGGGTTGAAAGAATCGTTTTATACTTAGAGCGTGGAACTTGGACTCTTTCAACCTAGGTTTGAGTCCTTGCTCTGCTTCCGATAATGATTTTAAATAAGTTATGAGTTAACTCTTAATTTTCCAATCTGAAAGTTGAGGTAAGGTCACCAACCTCGACAACTTATTGGAGAATCAGATGAGATAACACACACAGAAGGACTGAGCACCTGGAGAGTAAAAGCAAATAAACTGGAACGCTGTATTATCATGATGTTATTCAGAGGCCGACTTGAGTTAGGGTTTTTTATGTTAAAAAAAAATGTTCCTTGGAAAGAACAAATTTTTTAAAAAGCAGGGGTTAAAAAAAAAAAAACCCCAATCAACCACAAAAGAAGAAAAAGAAAAAAGTTCTTTGGGAATATCACTCACTAGATGTAAGTCGATGCCCTGATGCTCTGTGCCCAAACCATGGCTGTCTGTCTTTCATGGACCATGGAGCCTGGGTTAGCACATGCCCTCCAATCACTCACGCACTGGCCTGCTTCATGCAAGTAATCCTATATTGTTTCCCCAAAGACTCTTTCTCATGTTTCCATTAGCTAAAATTCACACACAAGAGGATTTTGTGGTTTGGAGGTGCCCAAATACATTTCCAAGTTGTTTTTGTGACTTGTGTGTGTAGATGCCACTCATGAGAACAGGCTGATATTTCTGACTCCCTGCCCATAACCATTAAGTCTCATGCCGGGGTGCGGGGACAGGCGACTCAATCAATCAGGGTCACTGTAAGTGAATTTGGGCTGACTAAATAAAGACACAGACACAGAAAGTTCCTATTTCTTTGGGTTCAGTGACTGCTCCTCAGCCTCAGCTCCCATAAGGGGGGGCGAGGCAGCCAAGAAAGAGAGGAGCGCGCCTCGAACCCCGGTTTTATTAGTGGGGGGAGCTAATCCATGGAACACTCTATCCAAAAAAGGGCAAAGGGTAGGGTTACAACAAACAGTGGGTGTAGCTCAACCCCACTGGGTGACGCCCACTCCCAGCTGCACCTTTCTTATCTGAGGGAGTTGAGGTCCAATCGCTTTGCAGTGG